TGAGTCCTCGTGGCTCATAGATTACTACAACAACAGTTGCAGGAACAGGTTATGCGATGATCATGATGCGAGAGCGATGCTTGCTTGCGTTGAGTTCTTCTTCTGCTTCTTTGATCAGGGGATAGGTTCCAGGTCGGCAGCCTGGGCTAGCAGGGTGGATGTCGTTTGAGTTTCTGTTTGTGATTCATCCGTAGACGGATGATGCTCTCATGTATTGTAATGTTGTATTCGTGTGGCATTGTATGCCTTATGTATGTATCCCCATCTATTATGTAATGTTGATGTAATGATATCCACCTTGCAAAAGCGTTTCAATATGCGGTTCTATCCTTGGTGGGACCTTCGAGTCTCTTTAGGATAGTATCGCATATTGGGCGTGACACCATCCCCTACTTGTCGCTCGGTCGGGCTCAGACTCCGAGGGAGGGGACAAGCCGCCTGCTGGAGGCCGGCCCGTGCCCTAGCCGCCTTCTTGGGGTCTGCCGTCTTCTAGGAGGCGGCCTCCTGGTTCCAGCCGGCCCAGGAAGCCGGCCTTGCGACCAGTGGACCTGAGGGGCTTCGCTAGCCCCGATGTCTTAAAATGTCTTAGAGTGTGGATGAGGCTACCCGGGGTCTATCCCCCGATAGTGGGTTCAATCTTGTGCTGCTTCATCCCAGTGACAGAAAGGGAACACAGATGTATCGTATTGTTGCCACTAAGGATAATGGTTTCTTTATCGCACTTGGATGATAGTTTCATTATCTATATTATGTCTTTATGCTTATTGCAATGCTATGTTTGTCACAAACTTAATACTTTGAGATGCATGATGGATGCGTGCGGTCTTGAGGTGGAGTATTAGTTGTAGACACAGTTAGATAATTGTCTACATATCACAGACGTGATGTCTATATGAGATTATACCATGAATGATCATAGTCATAAATATAAATATTGTAATTTAATCGTTGCTCAACTATAGTTTGTTCACCACACCATACTTATCTGGTTGGAGAGATGGCATGAGTAAACCTATGACCCCGGGCATATATATTCCTTTACTAAAAACATCATCAAAACTACTTTTCTTCATTGTACCGTTTTATTTAGTTTTACTTATCTATCAATTGGTACCATACCGTGCACTTTAACCTTGTAACCAATAGAACAAGAAGCTTAAAACCTTCTTGAAGTGTTGGAGCAACTTCGTATTGTGTTTTGTGTGCAGGTACCAAAAACCTTGTTTGCTTGGAGCACTCCTATTGCTTCGATAAACCTTGGTTCTCAAATCGAGGAAAATACTTATTGTTAGGTTATTACACCCTTACACTTTAGGGTTACCCAACCATTCTTACAAAGAGGAAGCAGGGCTCATGCTTCGTTTTTAGGTGTTCTTCTGAGTCTGTTAAGGGTATGTATCCTGCTCAAGAAGGTGAGCCGGCGAGTCTCCATGAAGATGGAATAACGTTCTCCCTGCCTAGCCTCTATCAGGACGGTGTGTCTTGCACCGTTGGAGGACGTGTGGAGGTGTGTCTCTGGTGGATCTCACATGATTCTTTTGTTGTTTTGTCTTCGGTAGACCTGAATGGATCTGGTCTTTGTTCGTCGATGTTCATGTGTCCATATGTTGAAACCTTCTGATCTACGCTTCTCTTCATTAGAGGCGGTTGTTGTTCTAGTGCGCTTGTTCTTTGGCGCCTTCGCATGATGACTTTATGTCTGTGAAACTACAATAAGGCTTGCCCGGCTTCGATAAGGGAAGGATATGCACCTTCGGCTCGCTTCAATACTTGTAGTCATCACTAGATGTTTTATGGACATGGACGTAAATTTGTTACTTATGATGTTCTTTGTAATTTTGTTACAAGGTTTATTTTGTTTTTCTTATTTCTTTTTGGAATACCTGGATGGATGAACTTTAAGTTTTAGTCAAAAGGAGTTGTTACTCGTGGTTATGCATAATCTATTTTAGCTTTTTTTGTGCAAATAAAATCAATGTGTTTTGCCTAAACTTTATAGGCTTATATTTATGGCATAATGTATTTATAAAAAAAATCAGCATACGCAACCATATTTTTTGCATTTTGTCCAAGAGAAAGTCCAATTGACACATTCATGGGTGGAGTTTCGATAATTCAACCATCATCCTGAATTTTGCAAAAACCATTGAGAAAGTCGTTCTAGTTCTGGAGGGCAGCCCATTGTGGTACACTGGGAAAAATATTTAGTGCTTCAAAGTCTTAGGTGATATCATGCTTCAAACTCACAAAAAAATATCTAAAAGTTCATAAAAAGTCTAAACTTTTTTTTGGATAATGTTAAATCTAAATGTGTTACATACATTGAGAAACAAGAAAGAGAAATATATCCACCATGAATAGTGTCATAGAAAAACAAAAACACTGTCTTTTTCTCTCCTTTCCCTCGACGGCTAGAGCAAATTCTCCTCTTCTGGCTTCGTTGGTGAGTCCGTGGATTTGTTTTCCTCTGCCTCTCGCTTTCGCTGCCGATGGCGAAGAGGGGAATCCCGATGCCTCTGCTCCAGCTAGTAATTTAGGCTAAGATTTTTCAGTTCTTGCAGATGCAGCGCTTGGACAGATGGTGACGCTTATTTTCCTCTAATTTGTTTTTTGGGCTCCAATCAATCTCGAGTTGGTGTGGCGTGGCGAAGAGATTCGGTGTTAGTTGGAGTATCTATTTAGGGATTCAACTCTGACGACTACAGCTCCAGTTCATTGGTCCTTATGAGCACATGCATAATTCCCAATATCATCGGAAAGGTCAACCCGCCTCAGGTAGAGTAGCCGCGACAATGGCACACCAGCGGTACCTTCTGGCAGTGATATTGGTGGTTCGGACTTTAATGTAATTTTTATTATGCTTAATGTGGTTTTTACTTGCGATGAACCTTTATATTTATGATAGATCTAAACTTTTTTTTCAAAAATAAAAGCAAACAAACGTTGGTTCGGAACCAGGTAGCAGCGGGAACGGATCCTCTAACATCACGAAGGGATGTAACGAAGCTCCAGTGACGGTCCAGTGCAAAAATGCGAAGGAATGTCACAGGCACTGTAGTGAGCACTGTAGTGACCGGTACTATATGCAGTTACTGTTTATAAAAAATAAATCTGAAAATAATTTTATTGCACCATTATTTTGTTTGTATGTAACTTTTGTAAATGTATGCAGTATATTTGTAATTTGTAAATTAATTCATGTCATTTTAATCTTAATCATATGGATGCGAAGAAGGAATGTCACAGTTATTATAGCTTACGTGACATCCCTTCACAATGTTAACAATGTTAGAGGATCTCGTTCCGGTAGTAGCGGCCGATGGATCCGTTGGTTCATATCCACCATGGCCTTTCAGTCAAAGCCGTGCTTCTTGCCCTAAAAAAAGGCACGGCTTCTTCTCTCCCTTCTCTCCCTTCATCAATTCAACCCGTCGACTGCACCTAAAAGCTACTACCACCACTAGGCACTAGCACAGCTTGTCCTGTCCCATCGACCGCTTGCAGCATTTCTTCACGGTGGCACTGCCCATCTTCCTCCTGCTCCTCCTCGCACACTGCTCCAGCTTCGCCAAGAAGACTCCACTCTGGCCCTCATTTTCGCTCCCAAATCTTCTTCCCCCGGAAGCTTTCCATCAAGCCAAGATTTCAGCTGCGCGCGGTGAGTCTCCCTCCCATACTAGTCTAGGTTTCTGGCTGCGTTCTATTAATTGTTTATTTTTAGTCTCACTCTCCCCTCTGCTTTGCCCTCAGATCGTCGAGTATCTTGCTGTCCAGTCCAGAGACGCCGCCGGGAATCCGCTGCCAGAGTAAATGCTCTCGTCTCTGTCTGTCGATTCTCTCCTTTTAAGTCGATAGATCTATCGGCGGAGCGCTTCTTTCTTGCCCCAAATCCGTCGCCCATCTGATCTGTTTTTTCTGTCCGTTTCCATGCGTCGCATGATACTCCTTCCTCCACCGCTCCTACATTTGACGAAACATTTTTTTTCCGGCCGCTGAACACGGACAAAACTGCTCCTTTTTAGATTTATCAGCGATTTTAGATCTGTGTAAATTTTACATTTTAGATCCGTGTAGATGTTACAACAAAAATGTAAACAGTAAAGCTTACATTTTAAATACGAGTAAATGTTAACACAAAAATGTAAGCAGTACACCTTGCTTTTTTTTTTAAGGGGAATACACTTTGCATTTCGGATATGTAAAGTATTACATCAATAAATGTAAAAAGATTGCGTAGTTGCTCTCATACGCCGATTATGACCATTGCTTTTGTCTCTCTGGGACGCACAACAAAAATTTCAGCAAACAGATGAGTAGCTCCATGACAACAAATCCGAATAAATTGTACGCCTAATAGTTCCAAAAGAAACTGAAATTTTTGTTTTCTGAAACCAAAAATTGGAAATGTTGTTACGTACAAACTAGGTACCATGAATACAGGTATTTAGCAAATCCCTTTTCTTCTTTTTTATGTGCCGTACTAATGCTTTCCTTCTTTTCTCTTGTCAGCAAGCAACCAGCATGGCAGACAGCAGCCGCGATACCGTCTTCGACAACCTGCCCGAGTGGCTCATTGTCGACGAGATCCTCTCCCGGTTGCCAGCCAAAGACGTACTCCGCTGCCGCGCTGTCCGCAAGTCGTGGCGCAGCACCACTTCCACCGACATATTCATCCTTCAGCACCACCACCGTCAGCCCTCGCTCCCCATCATCGAGCACCTAAACGGCATTTGCCGCCTCGACAGAGCCTCCAATGATCAAAAGATACTGCCCATCCTACAGTATGCAGGCAGAAGCACTGTTACAGGGGTCGACCTTATGCACCGTGCCGTCTGTGATGGCCTCATCATCCTGGCGCAGAACGGCAGAAGCCTGATTACTACATCTGTAACCCGGCCACTCGCAAGTGTGCTTCCCTGCCACGCCCTCCACTACAGTCAGGCTTCACCAACGACGAAATAGTCGGCTTCTACCGGCACCAGCCATCTGGAGAATATCGGATGCTCTGGGCGTCATACTCGATACACATCAGGGTTGAATTGCCTGATTACTTTGTCCTCACAGTGGGATCAGCCCAGCCAAGACGCATCCAGTGGCAGGCAGTTTCAGAAAAAGGGTTTCCCACCATGTCGGCCCGTGATTGTCCACCGGTCCATCATCGTGGCAGCCTGCACTGGGCAGTGGGCCTCAACATCACGGTATTTGATCCCGTAGCCGAGACATTCCGGCACATGAGCCGCCCAGAGCAGTTGGGTGATATGGTGTCATTGTTGGATACTGTCGGCGGCGCACTCGCGTTGTGTCGCACGGATTGTACCTACGTCACTTTGGATGTTTGGGTGTTGCAGGACTATGATGCCGAAACCTGGGGCTTTCAGTACCATATTAGCTTGTCAGCGATGGTGGCATCGCCACCGCTTGATTTGAGGGTCAAATATGTCCCTAGGATGGCTGTGATCAATGAGCATGAGCTGGTTATCGATTATCCTACCAGTCTGCTGCATTGTAACATTGATGTTGTGTTTATAGGAAATCTAGAAAGCGAAGAGCATGGAAACTACTTGATGCTCACTCGGCATCGTCTCCAAGAGAGCATGGTTTCACTTCCATTGTTTGAGAACCAAGAAGAAGATGGTGTGAACAAGGAGCCTCCGTTCCTCATAGTGCTATAAAGACGCCATGCTCCATCTTAATGGTTTGGACTTGTTATTTGTTGTGCCCTTGGAGTATCCATCCCATGTGAGCCATATCTTTCATTTTACCTTTTAGTAGTAGCAGTAGAACTGAACATGTTGTTTGTCTGAAGTAGCACTTCTACTATCATCATTTCGTGCTTGTTATGCTATCTTGAACGCCATGTTGATGTTCTAACTTCTAAACAATGGAGTATCTATGCTATGGAACTGATGTACTGTTCTCCCCTTTTCACTTTCAGTTTGCATTTTTTAAAATCACGAACGGCATTATTGCAGATGCTGGGGTCATTTTAGTTGCTGAGATGGCTAGTTTACGTACTACCTTCTGTAGCTTAACATTTCATGATTCTTGTTCAGTGCACACTTTGATCCTATTGCTCTTGGCACCCGGTCGCTCCAGCAACTTAACATTTCATGATTCTTGTTCAGTGCACACTTTGATCCTATTGCTCTTGGCACCCGGTCGCTCCAGCAACTTGTGTGGAGATTTTTTTCTCAGCATATCTAGGAAGCTGGCTGTGATTTGGTATTCCGCATAGTTTTGGCCATTGTTGAAGTGTTTGGCAAGTGATTCTTGGGCTGTTTGATGATATGTTGGAAGTGATGCTGGGGTCTTCCTTTCCTACTGCTTCTGTGTCCAAGATTCGGAATAATCTTGATCAATATGTTGGAAAGCTGGTGTTTGCCAGTTTTTTTTTTCTTTCTGTAAGGCTGCTGATGTGATGTCTCTTGCGTTTGCGTTTTTGTTTGTGTTTAACCGATTTGCTGCTGGCACTCGGCACTGTTATCAGGCTGTGCTCAAAGCTGAATCTGTTGTATTGTGTTTTAGTTTGCGTTTTCACTGATGTATCATGTCCCTTTTACTTTCAAAAAAGGAGCTAATTCTCAGTTCACCTTTGCCTGGATGAAGATTTATGCTAGCTTACATGGTGACTGTTTGACCATGATGTTCCATTATCTAAGGAAATTGTTATAATTTGGCCGATTTATTTTCTTCTGTGTTCATGTCAGATCAGATGGGGATTCCATCAAGAACAACTCTAGCAGATTTGTAGCTTACTAAAGTTGACATACCGGCCTCGGCATGCTTAATCTTTGGAGGCCGATCCAAGTCGAGCCCGCCAGCCTCCAAACCTAACTGGCAGCAAACAAATCTAGGGAATTTCCTATATCACTCTTATTGTGTCAATTTATCAGGGCTATGAACAGGGATCTCGAGGAGTGTTCGGGGTGGGCCGACCCGTAAAGGGCCTCTTTGATTCACGGGATTCTAAGAACACGGCATAGGAAAAACATAGGATTGAAATGTCATGCTCATCTCAATGCTACAGGATTTTGGGTTGTTTGTTTGCATCATAGAAAATATAAAGAATTCTTTCGAGGAGGTTTGAGTGGATGCAAAAAATCCTGTGGGATGTAGTAAAAAAATCCTTAGGAAACATTCCATAAGATTCAGTCTATGAATCAAACAACCAACATAGAAACAAATTCTTAAGGATTCTAATGAAGGAAATATGCCCTAGAGGCAATAATAAAGTTATTATTTATTTCCTTATATCATGATAAATGTTTATTATTCATGCTAGAATTGTATTAACCGGAAACATAATACTTGTGTGAATACATAGACAAACAAAGTGTCACTAGTATGCCTCTACTTGACTAGCTCGTTGATCGAAGATGGTTATGTTTCCTAGCCATTGACTTGAGTTGTCATTTGATTAACGGGATCACATCATTAGAAGAATGATGTGATTGACTTGACCCATTTCGTTAGCTTAGCACTCGATCATTTAGTATGTTGCTATTCCTTTCTTCATGACTTATACATGTTCCTATGACTATAAGATTATGCAACTCCCGTTTACCGGAGGAACACTTTGTGTGCTACCAAACGTCACAACGTAACTGGGTGATTATAAAGGTGCTCTACAGGTGTCTCCGAAGGTACTTGTTGGGTTGGCGTATTTCGATATTAGGATTTGTCACTCCAATCGTCGGAGAGGTATCTCTGGGCCCACTCGGTAATGCACATCACTTAAGCCTTGCAAGCATTGCAACTAATGAGTTAGTTGCGGGATGATGTATTACGGAACGAGTAAAGAGACTTGCCGGTAACGAGATTGAACTAGGTATTGAGATACCGACAATCGAATCTCGGGCAAGTAACATACCGATGACAAAGGGAACAACATATGTTGTTATGCAGTCTGACCGATAAAGATCTTCGTAAAATATGTGGGAGCCAATATGAGCATCTAGGTTCCGCTATTGGTTATTGACCGGAGACGTGTCTCGGTCATGTCTACATAGTTCTCGAACCCATAGGGTCCGCACGCTTAAAGTTTCGATGACGGTTATATTATGAGTTTATGAGTTTTGATATACCGAAGGTTGTTCGGAGTCCTGGATGTGATCACGGACATGACAAGGAGTCTCGAAATGGTCGAGACATGAAGATTGATATATTGGAAGCCTATATATGGATATCGGAAGTGTTCCGGGTGAAATCGGGATTTTACCGGAGTACCGAGGGGTTACCGGAACCCCCCGGGGGCTTAATGGGCCATAGTGGGCCTTAGTGGAAAAGAGGAGAGGCGGCTAGGGTAGGGCCGCGTGCCCCTCCCCCTCTAGTCCAAATAGGACAAGGAGAGGGGGGCGGCGCCCCCCCCCCCTTTCCTTCCTCTCTCCCTCCTCTTTCCCCCCTTCTCCTAATCCAACAAGGAAGGGAGGGAGTCCTACTCCCGGTGGGAGTAGGACTCCTCGTGGCGCACCTCCTCCTTGTCGGCCGCACCTTCCCCCTTGCTCCTTTATATACGAGGGCACACTAGTAGAAAAGAGGGCTTTGGTCCAGGCCGGGTTAGCCCATTAGTCCCGGTTCAGTCCAGAACCGGGACTAATGGGGTATTAGTCCCGGTTCGTGAGCCCAGGGGCCACGTGGGCCATTTGTCCCGGTTCGTCTGGACCTTTTAGTCCCGGTTGGTGCCACGAACCGGGACTAAAGGGTGCGATGCCCATTAGTACCAGTTCGTGGCACCAACCGGTACTAAAGGTTAGATCTTTAGTCCCGGTTCGAGCCACCAACCGGTACTAATGGGGTTTGAGGCATTAGTACCGGTTCATGGCACGAACCGGTACTAAAGGTCCCATTTTCAAACTCTACCCCCCCCCCTGTTGATCGCCTTTTCAGTATTAAAAAAATAAAAGAAAATGATGGAAATGTCAAAAAATAAAAGAAAATAAGTTTCCCATGTGATATGTGGTCTAGTTGTTGGGAAAATTTGCAAATATGAATTTCGACTTTATTTGCAAAATCTCTCGAGAATTTGTAAAATGGGCATAACTTTTGCATACTAACTCGGATGAAAAAGTTTTTTATATGAAAAATCATCTACCCGAAAAGTTACATCCAAATTTAACCGGGGGAACCCCGTTAAACATTTTCAAAATCCTCAAAAACCTAACAGAAAAAAGTTACGGGGCTTTTAAGATCTGGAGGCAAAAAATTCATCAAATTCAGTTTTTTTTGATTTTTTGTTAAATCTGGTCAAACTATGGTCAAACTGCTTATTCAAGAAGTATTAGTGTTACTAAATAATTATTCAAGAATATTAGTGTTACTAAATAATTATTTCAGTATTTTTGAATTTTGGTCAAATCTGGTCAATTTGTGGTCAAACTAATTATTCAAGAAATATTAGTGTTACTAAATATTAGTGTTATTTTTTAGAACAATAGTTTCAAACTCAAACAGTGAAATGTGTGACTTCATGCTCAAGCTAAATTCCTGAGGTTAATAGGATTGACATCTTACTATTGTTAGGAAAATGACAAGTGCAGACTTCGCAACGAGGGAGAATAGAACCTGGAAGTTAAGCGTGCTCGGGCTGGAGTAGTGAGAGGATGGGTGACCGTCCGGGAAGTTAGATGATGAGGGGTGATTAGAGGTTAAATTGAGCAATGATGAGGGGTGATTAGAGATGAGAGGTTAAAATAATTCAGAAATTTGAAAATAAAAAAATATTCCAAAAAAAAATCAAATTTTTTTTAGAAAAAAAATCATAAAATTTCTCCAGGCAGCGGGGTACTAAAGGTGGACCTCCAGGCAGCGGCCACGTGGAGAGCCTTTAGTCCCGGTTCGTGTAAGAACCGGGACTAAAGGGGGAACTTTAGTAACGACCCTTTAGTCCTGGTTCCCAGAACCGGGACTAAAGGCCCTTATGAACCGGGACAAATACCTCTTTTTCTACTAGTGGCAGGGGGCACCCTAGAGACACAACAATTGATTTGATCCTTTAGTCGTGTGCGGTGCCCCCTCCATCATAGTCCACCTCGATAATACTGTAGCGGTGCTTAGGCGAAGCCCTGGGTCGGTAGAACATCATCATCGTCACCACGCCGTCATGCTGACGAAACTCTCCCTCAACACTCGGCTGGATCGGAGTTCGAGGGACGTCATCGGGTTGAACGTGTGCTAAACTCGGAGGTACCGTGCGTTCGGTACTTGATCGGTCGGATCGTGAAGACGTACGAGTACATCAACCGCGTTGTGCTAACGCTTCCGCTTTCGGTCTACGAGGGTACGTAGACGATGTCGTGGTTCTAAGTCTGACAATAGAATATGGGGGTAGGAATGTAGAGGCAAGATCCTAGCTATGAAGAAGTTGTACACACGAGTTTTACGAGTTCAGGCCCTTCTCGGAGGAAGTAACAACCCTACGTCTCGGTGCCCTAATGCGGTCGACTGGATTATGTGTGTGTGTGTGTGTGTGTGTTACAGGGGATGCGAACCCTTGTCACTAAGGAGGGGGTGGCTTATATAGAGTTCGTCAAACCCCTCCGGCCCTCATTTACGCAGGGTTTAAAGTACATTAAGACAGGGCGTTACTGGTAACGCTAAGAATAAAGTGACATAATGACCATTAAAGCTACATAATGACCGACCGTTGCAATGCGGAGTGGCTTCAGATCTTCTG